GTTTTGGTTCACTTCACGTAAAATGAATGCGTGTGTTGTGTTTAAAAGTTGTCAAGCTATAAGTGAAAAATGCATTAAATGTTATTTGCCCAATGCATTAACAATTCATTCTACCTTATTCCACCATGTTCTACAAACACACGCATGAATTCCAAATTTCAGCACCCAGGAGGCACCAAACTCTACACAGAGAATGATGCATAATACAGCTCTTTGGTTCCTACCAATTACAATGTGCAAGAATCTTTCCAAGGCTTTCAACGCCAAAGTGGCATGAGCTTACCTAAAGCTTATTTTGTGAAGCTAAAAAGTGACCACTTTGAGGCCAATGCTTTATGACGCAAATGATAACGTACAAATACACTCCTAGTGTTTTGTATTATCAAACAAAACATATGTCATAGGAAATCGTAACTGTGCCAGGAGAAAATTAATGACTGTAGGGTTTCCATTGAAGGTTGACATAAAGTCAAAAAAATGATAAGACTGAGGTCATTAATTCTTGCCTCACCTTCACACACCGGCTGCACTCCTGTCCAATGCCCATCAGCCAGACACGTCCTAATGGTCCTACTCAGGGATGTACGGCTGTCACGGTAACCAGGATTGCACATAAACGTGCAGGATGACTGGTACTCTACCTCCTGGTCACTGCAGCCTGAAATGTAACCGTTGGGGATGGCTGGTACCTGACACGTGTTGGCTGTGAGGGAACGATGACAGGAAAATTAGTTTGAATTTCAGACAGTGGGATTGTTCATAATTCTACCCCTACGCTGTGCACTGCATGATGCAATGAAACTATTCCACTGAATATTCATCATGTTAATATGATTTTGAAATTATTATTGTAGCATTCTTATAATTGGGTTGGTGTCACACTAACAATGCTGCCAAGAAATTTTAATGCATAAAAAACATATTTGTAAGGAAAAGCATTCAGTCTTTGAAGGAACTTGCATGGAAGAAGACCTTGCTGAGTACATATTATGGATCATTTTTGTCAGTTCACGTAAGACATAAAGATGAAGTTAAAGATACTTACGGACGCACTCTACCACTGAGCCCTGCCAGTAACCAACTGTTGATGACGCTGTGTTCTTGACACATTCAACTGTGACTTCTCGGCTACCATCTGACAGTGTGTAACCTACATCACAGCTTATGCTGCACACAGAGCCATATACGGCAGAGTTGTGACACGTCCCTTGGCCAGACACCAGACTGGTCTCACTGTTCTGGGGACTGTACAATGGTGGGCAACGGGCGACTTGTAACAGGAATAAAAGGAAGGGAGAAAATGGAAGTATGATGCCATGATGTTCTTACCACTCCTTCAAAATCAAAATAAGTCAGACCTATTCACCACAGAACGATCGTGGAGCTGATTCTACATTAGTATCTTGTTATTTCAGTAATGCCTGTTGAGCTGAGAAGGCAAATTTATCAAGAGTTGCTTGGGTGACAGCTGCAGTGATGAGTCTGATGTATGTCTCCTTTGCCTTCACACAGAGTATCAGTTCAATTCAGCTGCAAAATTTATTTCTCAATTTAATTCGTATAAGCCTCCTCTTTCAGGCACTCTTTGTGTAACTAGGTGACACCAGGCTCTTCAAAATTAGAACTGAATTTCTTTATCCAGCAGTGGCAACTGGCAGCAATCATGGCCAGCGGCATGAAAACTGACAACATTATTCCAAGAGACTTCTATTTCATGTGAGCTGTCCGCTCAGTGACTAAACCAAAACTGAATACATGTACATGTGTGATACACAAGCTATGCCACAGGACCACTGTGCTTCATGGGCTGCCGCACAGGAGTTATTTATAAACAGTGACAACACAAACAAAGCGCCAGGGGTTTCCTTCTTAACCCCTTTGCGACGGGAAGCGGTCAGAGCCGCCGTAAAAATTGAGATCCCTCAGCCCGCTTTTCAGCTATTATTCTCGGCCCACACTCGATAGAACACGGTGAAAGAAGGCATACCCTGGCCCTTGTATATATGGTGATTGGCCTTTGTGTGTTGCCAAGAAATGAAAAGGCTGAATTTGCATCATAATCACCAGCTTCACAATGTCCCCACTTCGAAAAGAGGCAACAGGAATGTGGAAGCGTGAATAGAGCTGCATGCCACCAAACGATGAGCCTTTTCACCGTGTAAATCAAAGCGTGCAGATCACGCAGGGCCACAAACCGAGAATTTGCGGTTTGGCAGGTGGTCTTTGCGGCCAAGAGAGGCTGGAATTCTCGGAATTGGCTTTCAGAAAAAAATTCCCAGCGTCAAGGGGTCAACTTGGGTGGGAATCGAGCCTGATGACCTCCTACTTTCTGATGCAGTGCTAATGCACTGGGTTGTCATGTGGTATTAGACCTGTGCACTACATAGGAGGACCTAGGTTCGAGTCCTGATAGATCTTATGAACTTTTACAAGTCCTCAGACAGTACAAACTACACAGTTTTTACACACAAGTGAGGGGATACAGTATATTGACCAATTAAATGCGAAAACTTTATTTAAACACTCCCTGATAAATATTGCTACCTACCCAAGACATTCACAGTGAGATCGCATTCTGCCTCATTGCCGCTACCATCCACTGCTGAGTAGACCAGACGATGTATTCCTTCATGGAATATACAGCTCCTGTTGGCTGGTACTGGCTGACCATTGATGCTGGTCAATGTCACGATGACGTCACCACTGGCATCAATAACCTGATTGGTCCCACAAAAGTTTTTTTTATATCAATACCGCATCAGCATATTTGATGTCTGATATCATTCCCAAGCAAGTCTGACCACAAACTTTTAATTCAACCACTTGTCCACTGCTCCTTCCCGGTGGGTAAGAGAAAACGTTGTACTTAAACAACCTTCAATGAACAACATCTGTCTAATCCTATTGTCGCTCAAATGTCATATGATCTGACAATGTGAAAACTCATATAGAAGTGGCATTCATGTGTCAATCAGACCTCTCTAATCATTGCTGCTGATTGGGGTACTTGTGCACAAAGTACATGGACTGGTCCAGTGACCGGGATTAAAAGATATGACTCATCAGCTGGTATTGCCTGCATGCATGTCCTGTGCATCCCATGATATCAAGTGTGTATAGACATACTGGCAAGGTGCAAACGCACAACTGGTTAAAGGAAGATGAACATGTGCGACTACACTTCTATGTCAGTAACTGCCTTTCAATGTGGTAACCAAGTTCAGGATGAAGAAATGCTTCCATTACCGGAATGGGTTCCCATTCATAGCGGACTTCTGCAAAGCTTGTTCCCTGAATGGCAAACAGTGTGATGTCTGATGGACACATCAAAGTGGGTGGGGTTATATCTGCCAAAACAGGAAACATACGAAGTGGGTGGGTTTACATGTATATCTGCCAATACAGGAGACACACAAAAAGGGTGGGATTACATCTACCAATAAAGGAAACATGCAAAGTGGGTGGGGTAATATCTACC